TAATGAACTTTACGAATCAATTAACTAATCACTGAAACCATAAACCTGATTGGCATGAAGAAGAGTCCAGCATGGAAGTAAAAGATCCAGGAACATACTTTATGGCACTAAATCAACTAACTAATTGGAAGGATATTAGTACTATATTATATCTATAACATGTTGGAAAATCCAGCTAAAGCTTTTACTCTCTATCCCGTAGTTTCAGTACTAAAAGCTTTTTGAAAAAATCCACGATTAATTGGGGAAACTCAAGGTGATCTATTCCCGAAGGGTTATACAAGGATGAGTTGGCATATCCCATGGGATTAGCTATCCCACTTTCTATATGGGATAGCTGGGATAGCCAATCCACCATTTTAGTACATTCCATGGGATTGTTATCCCTTCACCCACAAACCAAATGTGAGATAAAATAATCCCACATTTTATCCCATGATTCTTATGTCTTACCCCACCAACCAAACAAACCCCAATAATAGATGCGTCCTTCCCAAAAAAAATAACTTTCTAGACCATTTTTGGATTTGTGCATCTCATCCTTGCACAATCTTCTATTTATTACTCCTCCCGTCCCAAATTAGTTGTAAAGTTTCGCTTCTCGAGACTCGAGAATCAAACAATTTGAACTTTGACCAACATTTTTAAATGTATTTTTTCATCAAATTGACATGAGAAAAGGCGCTACATGTTGTAATTTTCGTATAGTTTTTATAGTATCTAAATTTTCATTGTAAAAAATGGAGTTGATCTTGATACAACCTTAGGAGAACCACACCCCAAAAGCTAACTATTGAGGTGGGAGAACCTAAGGAAATATAAGCCCCACCACATCAGTTCCCCATTTAACTGCCTTGGAATAATCTCATAACAAACCATCACGCTCGACGTCTGCACGCTATACATTGTTAGCCCCAGCCAAACACTACCATACCGGCATCACCATCCAAGACACGATGGTCCCGGAGGGTGGTAGGTGACTCGAACATCATTAATACAACCTCAAGAGAACCACACCCCAAAAGCTAGTTATTGAGAGAATCTAAGGCAATATAAGCTCCACGTCAGCTCCTCATTTAACCAATGAGGAACTCAAAGTCCAATTCCTTGCAATAATATTATAACAAACCACCAGGCCCGGCAGCTGTGTGTGGTGACTCTGACACCATTAATACAACCACAGGAGAACGGAGAACCATACACCAAAAGCTAGTTATTGAGAGAGCCTAAGGTAATATAATCCCCACGTCAGCTCCACACCCATTTAACCGACGTTGGACTCAAGTGTTATTCCTTGCAATAATATCATAACAATCTAATCCAATTTAGCTTCGAAGATTAGTCAAATTGAGCACAGAGGGAGTACTATCACAACAGTAATATCATAACAATCTAATCTAATTCAGCTCCGAAGATTAATCAAATTGGGCACACAAAGAGAGTACTATTATCCGCATACAATAGAATCAAACAAAACTTATTATTAGTAAATATAAAGGAGAAATAGGATAAGCAAACAAACCCTAGGCAAATTTGATCTAAAATCAAGAGAAAAAGTACGCCACTTCCGAGTAATCTCAAATTCACGGTCAATTTCTCTAGCACGATCAGCAGCAGACTGTGCAACATCCGATACTTTCCTTGAAACATCATATCTCCTATCAACACGCTCCGCAGTCTTCTTCGCTTCATATAAAAACTGTTCAAAACCATCGTTGGCATTCCTCCACACATCTTTCCATGCTTCACCGGATCTAACTCGTTTAGCGAATCCATCAAAATCACTCCGCCTGAAAGCATGTACATAAGTAACTTGCCGAATAGGTAGGACTACCTTTGTTGTTGTTCGGCTAGTAAAACGTAGGGTTTTAGTAGGGTTTAAGGGATGCCATGGTAGGCTTGTCGCCATAATCGCCTGAAAAATTGAAGCTTTTTTTCTTTTTCGGTTTCAGTGGTAGGCGATTGAATTTTCTGGTGGACAAAAGTTTGAGGAAATTTTAATTTAGCCCTTGCATTCTTGAGAAAATGATAAAAATGGTCCCTTATGTTTGAGGGTAGGTTCAAATTAGTACCTTTAAGTCTATGTACTTTATAGTTTTAATCTTTTTAAGTTTGTCAAAAATTACTAGTCCCTTTGTCCAAATTTATGTGGTATTTTCATTTTTCGAGAGTCAAATAATTTAAGCTTGATCGGAAATTTACGTATGGAATCTTCAAATTTTTTGAAATAAAATTTATATATTTGTAATCTATGTAAAAAGTATTATAAATTACAATAATTTACATTTTAAAATATATGAAAAAAATTTCGATTAAAGATAAATTTGTTTGAATTTTGAAATTTTGAAATGTGTTACGTAAATTAAAATGGGTAGAGTAATATTTTTAGACTATGTCAAATATTTATTGAACATTATATATTAGATTTGATGGGAACGTTAGCATAAAGGAAATTAGCAGAAACTAACATTTAGAGGTTCGAATTTTGTAGTTTCTGTTATTTTTTATTTACTTATTGGAGTTTTATGTAAATTTCTGAGATGTAATTTTTGCTAAAATTTTGTTATAGCTTTGTAGGAATTTCTCACAATTTTGTATTGTGTATTTTGATAGGATTTAATGTATTTAGAGTTTATAATTTAAGGAAATAAAGTTGTATTTGAAGCGGGTAAATGAAATGGAGGTTAAATTCGGAGTGTTGTGTAACAAGAATGTGTCATCGAGATTTAAAAGTAAATTTTATATAGTGGTGGTGCTCTCAATAAAATTGGATCTATATTATAGGGACAATTCAAAAGTGGTGCTTCCGATAAAATTTTCTTCATTCTCAGAGTTCGAACCCGAATATCCTAATTAAACGTGAAGCAATTTCATCACTGCACCACAATCCTCGTCGATGATTTGATATGTTAGCATCTGTATGTGGACTAGTTCTGTCCATTCACTAGAGGCATCTCATTCCTTCTCCAATAATCATAAAAATAAATAATTAAATAAATGTTGTCAATTTCAAGATTCTTTTTTTTCTCAATTAACCAAAAAAAAAAAAGAATTAGTGAAAGATGTCCATCATTTGGATATATAAAATATTAGCTATAGTTTTGTAATTATTTTTTCATTGTTTGTACTTTGTACCACAATGATGGTATATCTAACTTAATAATAAACGATCTCAATTCGTAAAATAACTTAACTTATTCTATTTCACATATCAAATAATCTCTTAATGTTTAATTAACTATACAAAATAGTAATCAAATTTAGAATTTCAAATTATTATTAATAAAATCAGTTTATTAAAATACATCCTTAATAAAAACTTGTTAAGAGTTATATTGAAATAGCTTTACTTATTGTATTTCGCATATCAAATAATCTCTTAATGTTTAATTAACTATTCAAAGTAGTAATCAAATTTAGAATTTCAAAATATTATTAGTAAAATTAGTTTATTAAAATACATCCCTAATAAAAACTTGTTAAGAATTATATTCTATGAGTCAAATAAAATAAATCGGTGAACTAATTATCTCATTCTTTGAGATAAATAAGGTAATTATTGTAACATTAAATTCTTAAATGGCTAGAGAAAGTCAAAGATATAAAATTAAATGTGATGGTACAAAACATTAAAATATTCATATGTACCTTTCAACACGAATTTGGTCATAAAGTCATATTCCCCTTTTTAATGGGACTCTTTGTTGTTCAAAGCATATGAGACTTTTATGGAAACTAGCACTTTTAGTCCATGACATATTGATAAATTATGATTTAGAGTAATTTTGATGATATATGGTTAAATATATTTAATCAGAAAAGTGATGAAAAAATAATAGAATTTTTTGAAACCGCATCATAAAAAATTACACCGAATATAATTAACAAAAATTGCAGTAGACTCCGAAATAAACAAAAAATAGTACAGACTATAAAATTGTACTTTCAAATGCGAATTTGCGTTGATATTTTTTTATAATTTCCGATCAAACTTAACAATCATAGTTTGATAAGTATATTGGGTCTTTAATTCAAGAAGATGTGTAGATCGACAAATTCACACCCCGTTTTGGTGAAGATGATGAAATAGAGGCTCATTGTTAGAGTCTTGTGTGACAAGAATATAGCACCAAAGTTTAAATATAAGTTTTACATGATGGTGCTTAGATCGACTATATTGTATGTGAAGGATGTTGGCCTAATCAGAACTTTCATGTTCAAAGGATAAGAGTAGCGGAAATGAGGATGTTGATGTGTTGTGAGAAGGATAGATGTAGATTCTCCAATGAGGAGGTGTGACTAGTTTGTTATAGTGTGATTAAGAGATGTAGGGATAGGGGAAAGAAGCATTGAGGAGAGGCGATAAACATGACATGACATATCTCCAGCTTACTGAGGACATGCTATTGGATAAGAAGTTATTAAGATTACAAATTAGAGTTGTAAGTTAGTAGATAGTTGAGCACTGTGCCGTTGTTTAGGGAAATAGGTTTCTCCTTGCATACTAATAGTATTAGCACTATTATCATAAACTTTGGCCTCTCAATTCTCTTTATGTTGCTTAAGAATATTTCTCGTATTATTTGTGATGTCTTCACTAATGTTTTCTCCTTTTAAATTTGTTTTGATATGGATTACTTGACTCGAGTAAGATCTTCTACACTCTACTCTTCGTAAAACTCACATGTGAGATTACATTGAATATGTAATTGTTATTATTGAAGATAAAAAAAGAGCTCATTAATTTAAAGAACCAAAATTACTTATATACAAATACTTACGGACTATATTGAACATCACGTAAAAAACAAGGGACTATTTTTGTCATTTTTTCTATGCAAAAGTGGGTTACATTTTTTTTCATCCCTGAATAAAACATACTTTCACCTCTGTTGTGTTTGGGTCCTCAAATTTTGTGTTAGTCCTTTTTGCTCTTTCCCCCAGATAGCAGAAGAATCCTAGAGAGAGAGAGAGAGAAAGGGAATCCTAGAGAGAGAAGCATGTCGGACGAAGAACACCATTTTGAGTCAAAGGCAGATGCTGGTGCCTCAAAAACTTACCCACAGCAAGCTGGAACCATCCGTAAGAATGGTTACATCGTTATCAAAGGCCGTCCCTGCAAGGTCTTTTTTCTTGCTAGTAGTTCATATTTATGATTTTTTATGAATTGGGTGTGTGTAAAAATCAGATCTTGATGAACCCTTTTGCTTGTTTTGTTGTATAAAAAAGTTTCACTTTGCTAGTAGTTCATATTTTATGAATCTTTATGTGTTTTTATGAATTGAGTGTGTGTTAAAATCAGATCTTGATGAACCCTTTTGTCTGTTTTTGTTTGTGTATTAAAAAGTTTCACCTTGCTAGTAGTTCATATTTTATGAATCTTAATGGTTATGAATTGGGTGTGTGTAAAAATCAGATCTCGATGAACCCTTTTGCCTTCTTTTTTTTCTGAATCTGATTGGTCAGATTTTCATTCTGGATCTTATTACAACTTGAATTTTTTAGATGTATTTGCTGATTGAAGAAAAATGGTGTGCTTATTTTATTAAGCTGCAAATCTGAACTTGTATTGGTGATTGATTAGTGTTATTACTCCCTAAGTTTCTAATTTATGTGATTGGTGTTTGACCAGGCATGGAGTTTATGGAGTTTGCACCTGTTTGGCCATAGATTTTAGTAAAATAAACTTGTAATAATCCGTCTACTTTTACTTGTTCACTCTACTAAAAAATGATGTCCACTTTAACTTGTCCAGTTTAGAAAATCGAAGCCGTCCCTGCAAGGTTTTTTGGTTTTATGATTTCACCTTGCTAGTAGTTCATATTTTATGAATCTTTATGGGGTTCTATGAATTGGGTGTGTGTAAAAATCAGATTTTGCTGAGCCCTTTTGCCTGTCTTTTTTGTATACTACAATCTTTCACCTTGCTAGCAATTCATATTTTATGAATCTCTTTATGGGGTTTTATGAATTAGGGGTGTGTAAAAGTCAGATCTTGATGAACCCGTTTGGCTCCTTCTATTTCATATATTTGTGCCTATAAAGAGGCGGATCCAGGATTTAAGTTTTATGAGTTCAACCTTGAAGATTCTTAGTTATGGATTCATATCTACTATTTGTTGCAAATTTCATAGATTTTTTCACATAAATTTATCATCGCAAAGGAAATACTGGTTCAGATGAATCCAGTATGGGACTCTGCCTCTGCCAGCCTGTGATGTTTTCTGCATCTGATTGGTCAGAGTTTCTTCTGGATCTTCCTTTTGTTGATTGTTAGATCTATTTACTGGTAGAAGAAAAAGGGTGTCTTAAGCTAATTGACTAGATTTAAAACTTTTTTAAGAAAAAGGGACAATTTTTTCAAGGGAGTCTTGGCATTTCCAGGGCTGGATATAGCCAAGTGGAGCAAGGCAGTTGATCGGAACTCAAATTTATTATCTGCTGAACACATTGAATCCCTTGCTCTCAAGATAATAAACTTTCTCTGTCCGATGACTCTTTGTAATGTATATATATCATTTGTTCATTCAAATACCATCCTAATAATTAATCATGGCTTTGCCTGAACTTGGAACTGCCTCGCATTGTCTGGAGAAGGTTGTCAAAGAGGATATAATATCTCAATATTTCTCATGCTCCTAGGTGATAATGGACCTTCCGACAATATACAAGCTGAATGGTCTAATTACGGAAGATATTCAGGGTTTAAAGTTCATGAAAAAAGACTAACAAGATAGTATAGCAGTATTAACAAGTCTTGAGTTATTTGTAATTTTGTTTTTATTCTTTTCGTTGCAACCTTGTGTATTCATTTACTGGTCTAGTTTTGGATGCATGGCTCTTCAAAGAAGGTTCTTGAGTTTTATTATGATAATCTTGAGCAGGTTGTTGAGGTCTCCACTTCAAAAACTGGAAAGCACGGACATGCTAAATGTCACTTTGTGGCAATTGACATTTTCAATGGAAAGAAACTCGAAGATATCGTTCCATCCTCCCACAATTGTGACGTAATGAAGTGTTTCTTTGCCGTCTTTTTGTTTCTACTGTTGTATGTTTGGTTTACCAGCAATGGAAGTTTCATTTTTTCTGTTTTGTACATGTTTTTCTCAGGTGCCACATGTCAACCGTACCGACTATCAGCTGATTGACATCTCTGAAGATGGTTTTGTAAGTTTTCTTTTACCACTTATGTGAAGTGGAACAGTCACTCTACTCTACCTGGAGCAAAAAGAGAAAAACTAAACATAACCACATTGTTTTTTATGACTGAGATTTTATGGCAGACCGGTTTAGATGAATATCAACGACTGAGATTTCTTGAGTTTTTAATCCACCTGTTTTTGCATAAGGTTCAGTTTTTATTTTGAGCATAATCCAAATGATGCGTCTATGGTGGGTTCTATTCCTTTCTTCCTTGTAATACACACACTCATATGCATAGACACACAAATGCTTCGTATTCTTGAAAGCCACCAATTAAGTTATTTATTGCGAATTATGTCAGCAAAATAAACAGAGACCTTAACTAAGTTTCTATAACATATATTGTAGTACGTCAAAAGTATTTTATAGGCTTCATCTATGTTGCTCAGACTCTCCAAAAATGTTGCCGCACTACTTTTGGAAGTTCGAGCAACATAGGTCTTCATTTGGTTAGCCTTTTGGTTAATCATTTTTTTCACCATGAAAACTTCAATCTTCATCATTTTCTTAAGCTCAAATTGGTATGGTGAAACTGGTTGATATCACATTATGGTAGTGTGTAAAAAGAAGAAATTACGAAATGATACTTTTTTAGGTGTTAGTAAGATCAAATTGATTAATGGCAGGCAAGTGATAGTAGAAAATAACTTGAATATCAAAGTGAGGCAATATTTTTTTTTGCCATGTTCCTTTCCCTTGAAGTTCTGTTTTCAAAGCTAGAGGTTTCTTTGGCTGATTCTTTCTTGTGGCAATTTGTTCGTTTTGTTTTCTTAGGTCTCCCTTCTTACTGAAAGTGGAAACACCAAGGATGACCTCCGGCTTCCCACCGATGAAAGTCTGCTGAAGCAGGTATGAACTTTGGACAACACGGGAAAGAACGTTCCTAATATCTTATCATACAGTATCAAAGGGAATAATGACTTCTTGAACTTACCGGCGCAAGTCATTTTTCTTACAACTATATCTTATCGTACAGTATCAAAGGCACTCCCAGTGGCTGAGCTTTTTTGTTTTACCTTACGTAGGTTAAAGATGGGTTCCAGGAAGGAAAGGATCTCGTGGTGTCTGTTATGTCTGCGATGGGCGAAGAGCAGATTAATGCCATTAAGGATATTGGTACCAAGAATTAGTTGTGCCGCGACATCATAAAATCACTGCCAAAGCTATAAGACATCATTATATCCTAATGTGGTACTTTGATATCACTAGATTATAAACTCTGTTATTTGCACTGTTGAAAACAAAAGAAAGAAAACTGCTGCTATGGCTAGAGAAAGTATTGGCTTTGAGCTTTTGACAGCACAGTTGAAGTGAAAATCCTACTTTTATTTATAAAAAATACTGCTGCTTTTATGTTTTGCATAACCTGCCTGCATCCATTTCTTCTTTGGATTGTTTATTGTTTCTCATTAAGAAATAAAGCTTGTTTCTTTGAGCCGAGGCTTTATCGGGAACAACCTCTTTACTTCTGAGATAGGAGTAAGGTTTGTGTACATTTTACCTTCCCCAGACTCCACTTTATAGGACTACACTGTGTGTGTTGTTGTACTAAGAAAACAAGCTTTTTTTTAAAGCAGAGGATTTATCGGAAACTAACCTATTTGGGGTAGGGGTAAGGTTTTTATATACTCTACTCTCCTTAGACTCTCTGCAGGACTTTACTAGGTATGTTGTCGATGTATTAAGAAATTAGGCTTGTTTTCTTGAGCTATAAGGGTAAGGTCTGCGCATATTCTATCCTTTGTAGGCTCTACTTTGTGTGATTATACAATGTATGTTGTTGTACTAAGAAATTAGGCTTGTAACAATTTAATTGCATATTTTAATAAATCACGATGACTTAAATGGTCTACGTCCTATAGTCCTTTAGGCAAAGAAAATGTCCTTTAAACAATCCTTCTTATCAGTTCATTACCTAGTATTTGTATATGTCGAGGGAGAAAATAGTTGTAGAGCTAAGTTCAATGGGATATTCATTTGAATCTATTTATTAAAAAATTATGAATATGTACTAAGGTAAAAATAATTTATTGTTTGTATTTATACTAGTTTTTGAATCTCCTCAACCCAATGGGAAAAATAAATGGGATATTCTTGCACTTTTTTCTTTTAGAAATCCCTGCTAAGGAGTTGCGAAGCTAGAAATTTTACTGGAGATTCAAGATTTAATATATATATATAAAGAAAATATTTTGGATTATTTACCTTATATATTACTATGACAAAAAGTGTTTAATTGTCAAGCCTTAACTACAAATTGATGGCGTGTTTGATGATATTTCGTATTCACTAACTTAAAATCTTGAACGTTGACTATTATTGAACACCTTTGGAGACAAATAACAATCTATACATCTTATAAAAAGTTTTATTTTAATGTAATTTGTCTGAACTTTTCATTACAACATTGTGGGTTTCTAAATGAATTGGGTATTAAAATTAGAAGAGGATCATTTGATTTTGAACTTGCCACATGTCATTTCGTCAAAATTAAGGGCAACTTTGTGTTAAGTGTATTGGGAGGTTTATATTTGGGCCAAAAGTATAACAATGATGATATATTTAGACTAAAAATATTACGATAGATATATTTAAACTATTTTTTAATGGTAAAAGGGTATATTTGACCTTTATTCCGTTGCGTTTTTGCCAGGTGACTTTTGTTTGGACTAAATACATGACTAATATTATAATAAATAAGTTTTAGGTTAAAACAAGAATACAAATCCGTTGTAGTCTAGTTGGTTAGGATACTCGGCTCTCACCCGAGAGACCCGGGTTCAAGTCCCGGCAACGGAATCTTTTTTTCTTTTTATAACCGTGAATCGACCACTAGCTCACGCCCTTTGAATGCATTTTCTTCTCTATTTAATTTTACAAAAGTTGTATGTTTATAGTTTAATTAAATTCATGTTTTAGTCATGTTCTTCACAACTAAAAGAAAAACCAAGAAAATAGAAGAGTATCAAACAATCATTTTTTGCTTCTTACCAATAGTAATAATAATAATATAATAAATAGTAAAAATCATCACAACCAGCCATTCCTCATATATATCTCTACCAAAAGGGAGATGTCCAAAGTAACTCGTTAAGAAAAACTCGATATTTATATCAAATCAATAAGTAATGTCCTAATTTGTTAGCGATCATTTTAACTTTGTACTTCTATTTATCATATTGGTTGGATTCAAAGCTGGTGTTAAAGGGTACGAATAAACTTGCTATACCTCAAGTACTGACCTCGAAAATGGACAAGTTCCTTTGATTAGGAACACATACAAGATTCGCCACTATAAAAAAGGATAATGGTAACCCTACCTTTAACTACTATATTTATGAATTTCAGAGTAATAGAAATACATGTCCTATCGAGACGGAATTTGGAACTTGCTATTTTCCTTCAGATAGTTGGTTTTCAATCTTTAGGATAAATACATTACATAATTGCTCTTATACATTCCAACCACTATCAATCAAACAACCATTTCTGCTTCTTTGATACTGTTAGGAATCCCCACATCAAACCTCATAGTTGGCTTATATTGCTCAGGGACTTCAGCACCAGCCTGTACACATATTTCTACCACTGCAGGAGCTTGTCCATAGAAGCTCCGAAGCTCTCGTTGCAACGGTTGAGCTACATCGGGTACATGCCACACGTATCTTGGTGGTATTAAGTCGTCTAGCACTGCTGTCTGCCAACCATGTTGCCCGTTTCGTTGTTGATGCTTGTGAGCTCCACAGTTTTGTGCTTTGTGTCCACTTGGACCAACATGAACTTCTGGACAGTATCCACAAACTCTTACTGGATACATCTTTATCAGCTTATTGGCTCCGGCCCTCATTTTTTCCCACGCTACGAGTGTTTCTTCAGCAAGCAATATTGTTTCTTCAGTGCTTGATGGTGGTTCTACCTCTGGATCGGGTATCTCGGCTAGAATTGGTGGTTTTGGAGATTCTGGTTCGGGATCAGGCAATTCGCTTTCATCTGCATCAACAAATTCTTTTTTTCCGGTCCATATGATTGGCTTTCTTCTCCTTTTTGTAGGATATTCAGGTAAATCAACGCCTGCTTGGATACAAAGCTCCACTATTGCAGGGATTCGAGGGATAGAAAATCTCTCCTCGTGTGAAATACGTTTCCCTAGGCGATCGTATAGATGGTAGGATTCAAGTGGCACTATTATGTCTTCAAGAACTGCCTTTCCCCACTCGTGATGTCCTTTACGTTGCGAAGCTTGTGATCCTCTACATGACTTGAACGGATGCCCAACAGGTCCCACATGGATTTCATTACACCACCTGCGAAATTGGCACAAGATGTTAACTGTGTCACACTTCTTTGAATTATCGCTGAATACGAACTAGAACTTCTGGAAGCATTTCATACAGATTCAAGAACAACAATTTGCAGTTTCCTAATTAAAAGCTTAGGGCACTGGAAAGAATTGCCTTGAAGCCTAGTGCCTTTTGAAACACTAATCATATACTAATAAGTCAAGATCAGGAAGAGAATTACTTGCAGCCATTAACAGTTACTACTTTCAAGAGCCGCTTGAGATTGTTAATCACTGTCATTCGTGTGTTGAACACATTGTACGCAGCAGGAACTAGACTTTTGATAACTAATCCGATCTTAGGTGGAGGCACACGTCTTTTAGGTAGTCGATTTTTCATTCTATCCCTGGCAGCTCTCCGTAGCTCCACAATAGGTATTGGGAAGGGCTTCTTTTCTTTTCTTGAATAGTAACGAGGCAAATCTGCATTTTGTGGATGATCACATCTAATACCAGCAGTTTGGACAGGACATAACTTCTCTGACGGCCTTCTAAGCTTCAATTCAAGTGTCACCCCACTGCAAGTTTGCTGCAAACAGGATCAGACACGAGTTTTATTTCAAAAATAAGAAAAGGATAGAATCAACTCATAAGCAAATCCTTTTACCCTCTAATTGCAGAAGAAAAGACTCATGATTTGACATAAACCAATGGTTCACCAAAGGCTAGTTATATGAAAGAAAAGGAAAAAAGATCCAAGTGAGGGATCGATTATCAATACCACCCGCTAGAGTTACTTGACAGCTAAAGCAGGATAGGAACACACATAATAGCTAAAGCACTATACATCATTTACGGATCATAGCCAAAGTTATCTTTTGATCACCACACTGTACCTATTATGGTTGACTTATGACTTCCAAACCACAAAACTATGAACATAAGGAGCTAGTACAATGTCTGTTCTGATGTAAAAGAAGAAAATTGTTTCTATCTCGAACAAACTTAAGTATCTAGCTCGAATAATCTTGAACCAAAAGCATAAGATATGAGAATTAGAAACACTTCACAAGCACTAATAGATACATTTCAGTTATTTCACAAACAAAGCTGATATCATGGTGGTAAATATTTACCTAAACAATCAAAAAAAAGATACTTCAATCTAAAATATAATGGGATAAAATAGTATGTTATCATAGTGAACTAGGCAACAATTTATAGATAAGGACAACGTGGTAATCTCTCAAATATGATGAATTTAACGTCAATACAGAGCTTAACTACAGCCTAATCACCTCCATTACATTACAACCTCATTTTGCTTTGTTGTATAAAAGAAAGGCGTTTCATTCTATTTTATTACACCTACTCACCCTAGATCTTGGAAGGACCTTTCTATTCCCCCCTCCCCTTCAGAGTAGGTTGGGGCGTCTGGAATTAGAAAATTAGCCACTTCAATGTATGTACTAGGATAAGAATCATTTTTTTAAAACAAAAATGATGTACGGGGCTGATAAGTCTTTCAGACAAAACAATGTACTCACACTGTTTTCCGGGACATAGCATTAAAAGAAAATTCCAAATTAAAACATTGCCACTAGAAAAACAAACAGCTCTTTAATCCCAACTCCGCCTCAATCCCAAGCTAGTTGGGGTCGGTTACATGAATCCTCACTATCTATTCAGTGGTAATAATGTGAAATAATAGTTTATTACTAAGCAATATAATGCAAGTTAGAATTGGCAAACCTTCAAAGAATCGAGTGAACTTAAATTCAGCTGGGGATTGCATCTCAAAATTCTGAATTTAGGCGGTTGACTTCTCCCTTTGCTATGCACCAAAACTGT